ATTTTCATCTTTAATTCATTTATTTCTCTATTTTTAGTGTTCTCTGTTTCACTTTGGTGTTTATTTAGGGCTCCTATGAGTTCGCTTATTTGTTTCTGTGTCTTCTCATATTCTTTATTTTTGGTGTCTTGAAATTTCTTGAGTTCCTCTTGTACGTTTTAGTTAACCATATCTAGTAACATCTTCCTGAAATACTAATTGATTACTTGCAGGATTTCTTCTTTGAGGTTGTTCTTTTGGGCATGGTTGAGTTCCTTGGTGTTATTTTTCTTTCTTTTGTTGGAGTCCGGAACTGGGTATCCATTTTCTTCATTTCCCTCTGAATCCTGTATTAAATTATTTTGGGGGGGAGAATGGTTTCCATCCTTTTTTCATCTTCCCATCAGTCCAGTTGGTAGTATGCAACTTTGTTCTTGATAGTCTAGTTGGTGGTTTCAGTCACCTGTTTTCTTTCCCTTGATTTACTTTTGTTTTGTGGCTGTATTGTGTTTGTAGCTAAGTGTGCATGTGTTATTTCTGTCCCTGCTCTGGATGTAATTTAGTATTGCTAATTCAAATAGTAAAACTAGTAAAAAAAAAAAAACCAAAGAAATCAACATGCAGAGATGAACAAACAAACACAAACAAGAAACAGAACAAACATAAAAATTCCAGGTTCAGGAACAACAGAATTTCAGTCTTATTTTAAGTTTTGGTGTTACTCCTCCAGCATCCAATCTCGGTGCTGGTATTTAAGCAGGAGCTCTGTTGTAGTCTCATCAGGTGGTTGGGTAGTGTTTGTTTTTTTCTCTTCTTTCAGAGGCAGCTGCTTGTTCAGCTCCTCCCTGAGTTGGGTGTGGCAGTTTAAGTTTGTATGTTGTCCTCAGGTTCTAGAATCAGCTCTGTAGCCCACCAGGTGTCCTGCTTTGGAATTGGGTTTTCACTGTGCTTGATTACTAGGGGCTTGTTTCTTTGCATCACCCCTTTCTGGGGCAAGGTCAGTGATCCATCAGCTGGCCCCCTGCTGTCAGCATGTTTTGATGTTTTGCTGATTGTTTTTCAATTTTGCATTGTCATTTGACTTTAGATGTTGCTCACTGGCTCAGAAGATGAGCTTTGTGGACCACTACCTGCCCTATTTCAGGCAGCGGCTTATCACCTGCCTGCTGTCAGCCCTTCTGCCTTTCCAGCCTTTGTTTACTGAAAGTTTGTGCAGAGATCAGCTCCTTGCCCTGCTGTCCTTCTCCAGTGTGCTTCAGCAACTCCATCCCTCTGCTGTGTGTTAGTTTTCAGTTCCTTGTTTAGTGTTCAGTTTTGTTTTGTTTTTGCAGGGGGCAGGGGTCAGTCTGCCCAGGGGGCTATGCTGGTTTATTCTAGGGATGGCTGGGGGAATACCGAATGACACTTGGTGCTCACCTGCTGGTCTGCCGAATGTATGGAGTCTGGGAGCTCACACTGTCTGCTTCTGTGTCCTAGTTGCCATCTTCAAGAAAATTCTGGGTTCACTGGATGATTGCCACCATAACTTTGAGAGGTGCCATTCCACATAAATAGAACACAGTTATTCATTTCCATGGACACCTAGAATGCTGTTGGCCAGCACTTTTGGCAAATGTAGTTCCAAGACCTCCAGCCTCTGTAGGTATAGAAAGTAGATGATACTGATAGACTATCTATTGCTTCCTAGAGAGTTGTTGAGAAAAGCTGGGATCTTCCAGGACATTTGTTGTCTTCTAGCCTTTTGGTTTTGTTGGGTAGAAGAATTAATGTCATTTTTATACACTGGCCTTCCTATGTTGTATGTCTGGGGACTAGATGCTTAAATACTCACAGAGATCTAAGAGGACCAAAGCTTTGATTGGAAGTTAGGCTGTAGAACAGCATGTTGGTTCTGGGGTCTTTGGACAATTCTGGGCTACACTGAGTGATGTAAAAACAGTGGCATGATAGGAATTGGCAAGAATGAAGGCATTCCAGAAGAGAACAGTAATAGAGAAAGGCATCAAATCAAATATTACCTATATACATTTTGTGTAGGGTTTAGGTTGCTACAACTCCTAAGATGTCAGTGAAAATTCTTCCACACATCATGAAATTTTATTCTAGATCAAATCTTAACACAAAAGTTCTTAAATAGAATTCCTTCTTTTATGTCCACCTCATCTATTTGGGAGAGAATTTAAAGGCAGGAGCAGAGGCCATTATCATGGTCTGGATGCTTTGGAAACCAGTATGTCTTCAGCCAGGTGACTAGAATGGTGGTTTATGTCAGTTATTGTATTCTGTAACACTGTCTTCAGGAAGTGTGCTACCCAGAAATGTAGGTGTGCTGATGAATCAAGTAATCTAATTAACAAGGACCTACAACATATGATTTAAATTAATTATCAGTGTTGAAGCAAGTGTGAGTCTGTGTACATTGTAGATACTGAGATGCAGACAAGATTGAGAGAGTCTCTCTTCTCAGTCACTAATTTGTTTGGGCCCCACAGATTGAGGATCTGTGCCTCTTCTTCCTGGGAGTAGAGCCTTCATTTCATCTGTTCATCCAGGCTCTGCTCTGATAATTCTTGTCAACCATGACACTGGCACACAGACTAAGCTATTAATTAATCAAAGAGATTATGAGATTGAGGAAGCATCCAGGTCCCACCATTATCATATAGAAGAAGAGTCAGGTATTGCTATATCGCCAAAAAGTTAAGTTCATCTATTTTAAGGCATAAAACTTTCATACACAACCTAGAGATGTTCTATAATTTTTCTCTTTTTACAGTTTTCTTCTTGGGGAAAAATGTTACAGTGTGGTTTGAAACCCTGGGTTGTAAATAAAAAAGACTTTAATTCAACCATCAGGCATCATTTAGTACATGACCTTTGGAAACAAAATCTCCAAACTACTGTATTCTCCTACTTGATGAATAGGTATAATATTGTTACTACATATTCTGCAAGAAGCTTGTATGGATATAATGTATGGAAAAGAGTAAAGTACCTTAACAAGAAAAGTATAGATAATGACTTCTTAAGAGTTATCAATTTTAAGCATTTGTATTATACTTCTGACTGATTTTCTACTTTTTTTCTCTTTTCCACAATATTTAAAGCAATGGATTATGCTGAGAGTTAAGGATTCAGAAAGGAAGAAAAGTAAGATATTACTTTGTCATAACACTGATCCTAGTACTAATATGCCACAGTCTAGTTGATTGCTACTTAGAATGAACATTACTAATGTGTGTTAGAATTCACCAATATGCAAAATTGAAATAATAATTATGTCAGATATAGTAATGAAAACATTTCTACCACATTTTAAAAATTGATTTTACTTTCCTTTTCAGAATTTAAAGTGTTAAACTCTTCATTTTGGCCAGATGATTAAAAAGATTGAGTTCTACTGGTTATTTTTATACTACAATAATCTTTCATTTTTAATCTGTTTAAGTCTGATCTTAAATCAGTTCATCAGTGCCAGCAATTAAAGATAGAAAATGCATGTGCTCAATTTCAGGAATTAAAAATAATGCCTTGGGAATAAGCATTTCTTTTCTGTGGTGAGAGGCTTGTTGGATTTTCCAATTAAAGAAGTCTCCATACTGGAAATGAGTAGTCAATTATGAAAATTATTTTTGAATAGGCAATTTACATATCCCTAATTGTATTCATTTCTTTTGAAAGACTGAAGTTGGAATTTATGATGTTTTGATTGGTTACCCCTTTCCTCGTGTTATTAATACTATTGCCAACAAGGTTCCCCTGTGAATGAGTCTTTGAGTGCCTTTCCTGAATAAATGTTTGAATTGTAAGGAAGTTTGCTTTATTTAATGAATGAAAAATATCTAAAGATTTACTAGCAGTTTTCAAATGTACACACAGTGTGTTTCATTGGTTTGATAGTAGCATCTCTGAGCTGCCACCTGCACTCATATTTGGACTTTTCTACATCAGCTGCTGACTGAACTTTTGAAGTTCCTCTGTGATGGTTCTGTCTGCTGGCCCAAAAGGCAGTCTCAACAAGGCTGCCCTCATTGTTATTCTGTAGTGTCTGCATGACTAGTAGACTTTTAAAGATATTCCCCTCATTTTAATGAAAAAAGTTTTATATTAATAATTAGCACATCTATCATGAAATAAAATGGAGATGAAGATGGGGATAATTAGATTAAAAGTACTGATGTTTACTCTCATTGGACTTAGCATTCATTGAACTTTAACCAGTCAACACAGAGTCCATCATGAAGGAAATAATGAAAAATATGGAATATGTACATATACAAGAAAAACAAATTGTTTTTAAGTATATACACATCAAATATGCATTGAAAGTGTGTGTGGTATTAGACTGTATCTACAAAGAGAGATGTAATTAGGTTAGGAATCTTGCAATGTGTTTTAACTTTTTTTTTCTTTTTTGGTTCTGGGACATTTAAACTTAGGACCTAGTACTTGTTACACAGTCACTTTACCACTTAAGCCATGCCTCAGCCCTTTATTGCTTTAGTTATGTTTTGGATAGGGACTTTTGTTTATGCCCAGGGACAATGATCTTCCTACCTATGCCTTTCATGGACAGGCATACACCACCATACCTTGCCCTATTAACTCTGAGACTGGAATGTCCATTTATATCATGTAAGTCTATTGTTCAGCTTTTCATATTCAACTTTTATTTTGGGGAACACCCTTGAAATGAGATAAAGAAGTCTTCTTAGGTATATTAGAAAAAGTAGTGGGGGAAGCAGGCAAACATTTCATTTCTTTAGGAGAGCTGTCTAAAATTGACTATTTCAGGAATAGTCAAAATAAACAAAGAGATGAACCACTCATTATGTCCTGGCATGATGCTTGTAAACATAATATTATTGAAGAATTAAGAGTGGTGCTGTAGTAACACTAAAGTTCTAAGATTGAAGAGGTCATTTTCTTTAAAACCAAATAAAGATCACAATCAGCGAGATAAAGTGACCTTTGATATGCGTGTACTACAAAGTAATTAGTGCTGTTGGGCTTGTTTGTAGCTGATTGCTGTGTTTGAAGAACAAGAACCACTCCACAAGACTGAGAGCCCCAGTGGAAACCCTGCGGATCAGCAGGGCCCAGATGCTTTTGAGACAGAAGTGGCTGCCCAACTGGCTGCGTTTAAACCAATTGGCGGAGAAATTGAAGTAACCCCTTCTGCTCTGAAATTAGGTAGGTATGATTTTTAGTGATGTGCCCTTAACTTGGTTGAAAACACACTACCTTGTTGACTATATTGCTTTTCTTTATGTCTTTTATCCTGTTACTATTTTTCTTTAAAAATCTGGTCTGTCTTTTCTCTAAGTTATTTGTTTATGTAGCTTTTTGCAGCTGCTGGTGTTCAGGTAAGTAGCTGCAATTGTTTCTTACACTGAAAGTGAATCTGGATTACATGCCCTCGAAGTAACATGGGAGGAATCATACTGAAAATGGTGAGGTTTGCCTATATCCTGTGAGAATCACGTTTTAAAAGATCTTGAAGAAAAGTCATTTGGAAAAAACTAAGGGTTACTAGGGAACCTAAGCTACAAATAAAGGTCACTTTTTTTTCTTAGCCACCCTGGTTTTCTTCTAATATTTTCTCAGACTTTGGAGAAAATGTTTTGAAGTTAGTCTTAAAATTCTTTCCTGCTGGTTTACTCAAACAGGAACAATTCACCTGCTGATTTTGCTCAGAATTCTTTTTCACAGTATTTGTTTTGAAGGTGTTTGTAGAAAGAGAAAATAAATATTCTTCTAAAGTCTCAATTTACAATTCCCAATAGAACAAACATACCAGTTTTTGGTGATACCCCACAGAGGTAAGTTTAGGTTAGTTTAACAATATGAAGTTTCTGAAAACCTATTAATATTTTGGTACTTAAAACAAGTTTCATTCCTCTTGAATATGCACAGAATAAAACAAGTTTCATTCCTGTTGAAGTATCTGAGACTGCTCAACATACTTTCTAGAGTTTAATTAGAGTTTGATTCTCAAGGTAGAAAGACAGAGGCATTTATTTCCCACTTTGCAAGGGAATTTTATTCTTTTTAAAAAGAAGCATATGCTTAAAATTATAAAAATAGTGCCTAGTTCTAGCTTTCTCCACTTGAAATAAAATATATACTGTTAAGTTGATTTTACATAGGAGCATCCAGAATAACCATATTTTGTCTTCGTTTTCTGAAAAGCATTTTTAGTGCCCCTTTTAAAACCAACCAAATGGAAATTAATGACCTATGGTCTTCATGATTTTCCTCTATCCTTTGGAAATCCAGCTAGGGAAGCGGTCTGCTGGAACGTGTGAATGGTAGAGGGCTGGTTGGCAGCTGCTCTTCCTCTGGAGCCAGCCTTGTGGCTTCAGCAACCTTGCAGCCCCACTGTTCATTTGCATAATGGATGCCTTTTTATCCATTATGCAAATGGTATGAGAGGAAAATTAGGCAATAAGAGAAGACGAAAGGAGAAAATTGCTCTTGCTTGTTTTAATATTCTATTTATAAACAAGTGCTGTGGTCTTCCAAAGGCTGAACCTCAGTGTATCCCTGAGCCTGGGAGCTTGTTTTCACCTTTTTCTCGGGAGCTTGCTCAGGAAGAAAAGTTTGTTTTTTCTTCTGCTTTTTCACAATTTCCTGTGTTGGACCATCAAGCAATATGGTGATGTTGAGTGTAAGAAGAAAAACAAGCTGAGATTCCTCTTCTTTGAAAGTAAACTCTCTACTTCTCCAGTACTGATTGTTGGTAAGACAGGGATAGAAAATAACATTTATTAAATGGAGACTAAATGCCAGACACTGAGCTAAAGACAGAACACTGAGTAACCTAAATCCTTTACTCTTAATAGTTCACTCAAGCCTCATAATATTCAGTCAGATTTTATTATTTTCTTCTTTCATAAAATGAGGAATAGGTACAGAGAGGTTTAGTAACTAATCCAAAAATCATGTAGCTAATTGGTAGCAGAGCCAGGATTTGAACACTTTGTGGTTCCACTGTCAGGAACCATTTTACTACTCTGCTTCTGAAATACTGTTCATAAAACAATGAATTGATATAACATTTCTGGGGTTTGCTTTGTGAAATATATATCAAAAACCTAAAAAGGATAAATTTGGCTCACAAATCCCGTCTCATTTAGTAACATAGATTAAATGATGAGACATTAGCTAACATTCACTTCTGGGTGATAAATGTTGCCTCCTAGCAATTCAGCCCAAAGCTTGGCATTATCTTCAGCTCCTCTCTTTTCTTCTTTCACCCCAGCTCCTGTCCACTTCTTAACTTCTTTTCCATTGTCACTGTAGCAGGCCAAAGCTCCATCATTAATTACACATTGCACAGGCCTCACACTGACCTCTCACTTCATACTGCCTGCCTTCTTCTCTTCCCCACTATTGCTGGAGCTACCTTTCTAAATAAAAAATCTGATTCTATAACTCCCCTGCTCACGCAACCTGCAAAGGCTCCCTATTGCTCAGACAACCATGTCCAAACTTGTTAGCAATTTGGTTCAGATGAGAATTAGCTGGAGGAATTTGGGCAGGGATGAGTGATGGAAAAAATTCATTCCTGAGTCTCCATCCTCATGGTTTAGTAGACTGAGCACTTTTCATTTCATGAACTTAAGAAGCAAGGAAAACATGTATTTATCAGGTTTTTCAGATAAGAAGTGAAGGAAGAAGGCAGCACAGCCCCCTTTAGTCTCTGTACATTCTGTTTTCTCATTGTTTGTACCTCAGCCTAAAGGGACATGGCTGGCGATATTATGTTCATGACTCTTCTGAGAGTGCAACCTGGTTGTGTTTATTGTCAGACCAATTCTGAAGTCCTGCTTAGATGAAGAATGGGATGGGCTGTTGGGAAGGAATAGCACTGTGTTCTAGTACCTCACCATGCAGGATGCTTATAAAATGCCTGTTGTGATCACAGAGCCCCAGGCCTTCATGGCTGTTCCTCACTCAGTTGCTGTAGGTTACTGGAACTCGTTCTGCTTCTCAAGGAGCTCATTCATCCAGGCTGGCATGGCAGAAGCAGGGCTTCTCACTGGTTTTCTCATCCTTAAGACTCACTTCATAAAATGGGGAATTTAAGCATTATTACCTCATGGTTTTCATACTTAAGGAAAACACAATTGAGCTAATACTAGGAATCGAGACAGTTTTATGTTTGGTTCATGTAGTCCCCCAAAATTTATCTGTTTTACTAGTATCTGAAATCAAACTATTTGCAATGTTTAGTATCATTTTATATCTTGTCTTCCAACACAAGATAGTCATCAGCAATATCCTGTTAAAAACCAACAACTTTCCCTGTGTAATGCATGCAGAGATTGGTCCTCTTCTCCTTTATCATCTAAGATGAAATACTTATGTCCAGAATATGCATACATTCATAGGCACAGGCTCTTCATTCACAGCTGTTTACTCTCTACCTACCTATATTGTTGGTCCCTCTTCCACAGTCACCTTAATTTGAATCCACTCTGAGCTACTTGCTATTCCCCAAATTTACTAGTTTCTTTCAAATTCTTTGCCTTAGTGGGTTTGTTCCCCTTTCCTGATTCACCCCTTGCATTTTTAAAAATGGTACTGGAGTTTGAACTCAGGACCTCTCACTTGTGAGGCAGGTGCTCTACCACTGAGCCATTCCACCAGCCAGCTATCCCTTGCCTCTTTTTTACCTGCTGAACTCATGTGTACCTTTGATAAACAAGCTTAAAGACAAGCTTGTTTGTAGAGCATTGTCTAAAACTTTAAGACAGTACCACAATAAATACATTTCCTGATTCTTCCATAAAGGATTATGGCAAGAAGTAGCCACCTTCTTCTAGCCTTAAGAGATGCATAGTTCCATGCCCTAAAAGCTAATGGGGTATATTTTTTTAATTCATAAGAGGAGTTTTAAGTCAAGTGGCAACCACATAATTCCTACCTCATTCATCTATACTATTTCCTGCCATTTATTTTCTAATGGATTTTTTAATGTAATAATGCTAAATGACTGAGACCTGACTCTGGACTCTGGCAAATTATTCCAATACTGTAACATTCTATGTTTCTGAAACTCACCAATGCCTTATACCAATATCCTAGAAATTGCTAACCTAATAATGTATAAGAGACACAGTGGCCAGAACTCCAGGTGAAGTAGCAGAGTAATATTCACAGAATATATTTGGACTTTAAAATCACCTCATTGAAGACTTTTCAAGTCCTCTCTGTGGAACCTTATGGTTCCTCTGAGCATATTTCAGTGAGTCAGCAGATGTTTGACTCTAGTTAATTAATAAAATTTCTTGATCACTTAAATTCTACTTGCTATTCTGTCTGAATACATAGGTTTGGTAATATTAGCAGGGAAGAAAAGGAGTGCCGAAGCCTGGTGAGTAGGCAATAAGCAGAACCTCAGTGCTTCTTAGCAGTCCTCAGCAAAGAAATTCTCCTCTACTCAAAAAAGTATACACCTCTCAGAAGAAATTTTTTGAAATAGAATATATAGTTCCAAAGAGTTTCCTGATTATCAATTGTCTAGGAAATTGACATTATTTTACAAATGAATGTATAACAGCTTAAAGTCAGTGTCAGTGTGTACTCTGATGTGGACTGCCTAGCTAGTTAAGGAACTTGAATTGAACCTCAATCTTTTGGCCTCTAGTATATGGTGCTCTTGCAATTATATGACACTTTTTGGATTGATTGGATATTTCAATTATCCATGTCTTTTAAATACTATATGTAATAAAATAGCACTGCATGTCCTTTTGAAATTGAGATAGAGTGTAAATTAATAAATAGATACTATGAATAGCTGTAAATCAAAAGATAATGAAGGAACTTAGACAAGAAAATTGAGGTGGATAAAATTTCTTTTAAACCCTGTAAGTTTCAGAAATGGACTTATTCTTGTCTTCTCCATTGTGTGTAGCATGCATATGTGTATATGCAGTCTTGACGGAAAGTTGAGCCAAAACCAGTACACTAATTAGAGCTCTGTAGGTGATCTTGTTACACAATGTGAATATTTTTGTCCCTTTTCTGAAATTTCAGGTACCACAGGTAGGAGCATAGGTAAATAATACAAATCAGTGAGAGTGAGAGCTATTACTTTGAAGGTTGGAAGAATAAGAGTCCTTTAACCTTTCCTGTTATTATTCATTTTTTGATCAATAGTACCAGACTTTCTGTACTCCAAA